TAACACCATCATTTTTAGCATATTATTATTATATAACAAACAGGTGACTGAGAAAAGACGAAATTATTCCTTAATCATAAAAAAAATACTCTGATATTTTTAGGATAAGAGAGAGAGTAGAAAGAGGGGAAAAAACATTGTAAATAAATCAAGATCTTTTTTACCGGTTGCGAGTTTCTTTGCAATTGAATGGGGTGACCTTCAAAAGGATATTTCAGTTATTTTTACATTTTGAAATAATGCCATGGAGTATCGGTGACGAAAGTGTGCAAAATTAGGGGATTTTCGTGAGACATCCCATAGTTGAGGGGATTTTTTTCTCGAATTTTTAAAATAGAGTGGGGTTATCTGCGATATGCCCAAACTTGAGTGGGATTTTCTCAAATTAAAATAATCGAGGGGTTTTTCTGGGATATTCACCATGTAAGACTCACCCGTGCGAGCACGGGCTAAATACTTGTTAGAAAGTTAAAATTGATAATTAATCAAATAATGACCATCAATGCATAGCCAGAAACATGGTCAACATGGTACAGCAGGTGAGCAGGCCTAGAGTAAGAACAAGGTCTTCTCTTTTTCCTTCTTTTGTCTTGAGGTAAAATGAGTACCAAACAAATGAATGATAACCATTGATATTTAAAAAATTTAAGATATTTTTTAATCATAGTAAACCACACATATCACAATATACAAAAACAAACTTTGTCTGGAAAAGGCGTATACGATTCTTACTACTAATCTGTTTTGTATTGTACAACATCATAAGCATGCATGAAAACAGCAGAAGAAAACGGTGGGATCATGAAAGACAAAAAAGCACACACTGACATGTCGTTCAGTCACTGCTTACCTGTTCATTTACTTCGTAATACTTCCTTTCTGCTTCACTTTTTAGTTGTTGCAGCTCCACTTTTTCATTTTCCCATGATTTTTTTAAAAGATCCTAGAATATTGTCATCAGAGAAGTAAAAGCAAAAGCCAGATCAAGCAAAAGAACTTAAGCATAAGAAAGAAAAAAAGTATTTGTTAAGACAATTATATTGCCTCAGGTATTCTCCTAAGTAGTGTACCAATCCAACTACAATGTACTATCAAAAAACATGTATTTGCAGATGGAAGATTATTTTACTGCTTCCTTTAAGATCACATCAGCTGCACATAGTCCTCGGGGATGAAAATATGATTTACCTACGAAATGTAAAGTTTTTCTAAAGATATAAAACATGATGGAAATAGAACATGAGTTACATGATGCCAAACATACTCCAGAACTGAAATTATAAGAAACAAGTTTATGACAGCATCAGAAGCTTTTATCATAGAGAAGTTTTTCAGATATGGATCGATCAATTTATGAAGGATCCTGCAATAGGAAAGCTTAATAGAAACATTGACCAATTTATGACAGGATGTCAACCACCAAGCCGATTGGGTAGGTTCATACTTCATAAACCTACATCGTCCCAAAAGCAGTCAATCCCCAGAAATTAGTACCACAGAACCTGCTCGGCACCATGTCCTCCAAATTCAGCAAGTCCTAAATGTACGAGACTTTATCCAAGATGAAACTAGAAAAGGCGAAGTCTAAAATTCTATAGGTGTCAATTTGACCCATATCCTTCAGTCCTAAAGAAGTTCTAAATAATATTACAGGATATATAATAAATACTTAGCTTCTACAGCAAAGGCAGAACAAGATTGAAACCACAACTTGGAGGCATTCTAACCATGTCCAATATGAATATTTGAAGCTATTTTCAGAATGATGTTACATGAGATTAAAAAAATTCGAAATGTTAAAAGGGAATTTTTTTTGAATGATTAACAGTAACTTGTAACTATTGACAAATACACATTGAAGTTACAACTCTTAAACAAAAGCAATAATTATCTATGCACCTATCATTAAGCTATTTGGAGAAAAAACAGAACTTATTGTGAACAGTTAAAGCTCTATTGGAAAAGACAAACATAGTAAATCTCTAAGCAATTGTAATTAGCAGTCAAGTAGAATTGAACGAAACAGAAGGAAGTATTTCAAGGGACACAAAAGCATGACGCTTCATACAAAACATAAGGTAAAATTACAAGACACTACCACAAATTATCAGGTTTCTTAAACGAAGGACCTTTTACTTGTTTTTAATATGAGTAATCGGTAATCCCAAACGGTTCATCAATTGCCAGAAGCTGTTTTGGAAACCGACCTTGATCATCATTCAATGTTACATTAAACGCTGGGCGCTTCTAGGCGTCGGACTTGGTGCCCAGCGATTAGTCGCCTAGGCGGGCGCTTAAACGGTTTCTGGGCGTTTTTTTTTCTTCATTTAAGTAGTGGTCGATGAGGTTTTCCTGAAGGTCGGAGGAGGTAGTGGAGGTGTTCATATTTGGAGGTTAATGGTGTTTGGAGGACGTGTAGGCTACGACACATAAAATCACAATCAAGGCCTACATGGTGCAATCTACGTAAGCAGACAATGCTCCTCTAAACGCTCGTAAAATCTAGGTGGGCATCCTAAATACCGCCTAGTGCTTAGGCGCCAGTTAGGTGGCCTAGGTACCGTCTAGGCCTAGGCGTACGCCTAAGCGGACTAGGCGGAGGTTTTTTAAAACAGTGGACATCATTCGATATGTTTTCAATTGAAAATTAATAGAAAATAACTTAACTACTAAAAAATAGATTGTTTCTCCAAAAAAATATCAAAAGTTCATAATCAAATTACCTTTTTGAACCATTAATGATTAGATGCAAATGACATATTTTTAACAATTGGTAGGAAAACTATCTCTACAAACTATTGTAAACCCTTAAGAGTGAAATAAATACTGTTGAGAACTAGAAATGAACTATATTTTACCGAAATAAATATCAAATGCTCCAAAAATTTTGAAACAGTACTACAAGCAGTTTTTAGTGTTTATTATGCATACAGTTAGGCAGTTGAAAAATATTTTTCCCTAAACAATAAGTCAATATTAATGATATTTACTTCAGAAAGTTTTAACGTGTTTCTTGATTTTAAATTCAAATTGAATTATTCAGGGGTAGGATTTTCTTCCGTAGGTAGCCCAAATAGACTATATCCTTGAATAAAAAAAGTTCAGCTTTTTGATCATTTAGTCCAATCAACAAATTAGACAAAAAAAGTAGCTTTCAAATAAAAGAAAACAATCTGGAGGGCTCAGAAAATTATGAAATATTAAGGTTCAAGTTTCTTCTAGTAAATGGTTAGGGATCAAAAGGATATGTTTGGATTGTGCCCCGTTTAGGATTAACTTGAGAAATGTCATTAAACTGAACGGTTGATTGGATACATTTTTGGTAAAAGGTCTTATGATTTACATTGGAACATTCTAATAGGTTCCATGAGAAACAATTAATTAACTACTGAAAATCAAAATTATGATAAATCAAGACCTTTTCAGTCAAGTGATTTGCTAGATTTGGTAATGGGATCTCAATGATAAATAACACTTCACATTTTATTAGAATTCAGGGATTTACAGGAAACTTACATAAATGCATGAAGGCAAGAATAGATCACGATAAATCAAGATATGTGCTCTCAAGTGATTTGGTAAATATTTAATAATGGGATCTCGACATATAGGTCTTCTCAAAACTTAATACATCGAAATACTAAATAACATAGTTCGTTACGTTTGACCAATAACCATAGTTTAATTGAACATTTAAATAGCACACAATGGATGCTCCCATCTCTAAACTTTTAAAATAACACGCAACTGATAGCTAAGAATATAAATGCAAAACATTGCTAAACCACTTCAGGACACATATGCAAGCTTGTGCAAATACAGTATGTGTGTGCAAACATGCTCACAATCTGTATGCACGCAAGCTTGTGCAAATACAGTATGTGTGTGCAAACCTGCTCACAATCTGTATGCAAGCTTATCTATAAAAGTCAGGGTGTATATCAACATAAATTCAAGGGTTATTTTGATGTTAGTCCCTCAAATCTTTAATATTTTGATACTAGTACCTCAAATCATTGAAATTTGATCAGTCACCCATATCTTATTACTATTTTGAAATTAGTCCCCCTAATTAGCAGTTGTTTGATTTGGGTGAAATATTCCTTAAAGTAATTTTCAAGAATAATTTCAAAGTACTTATAAGATTGGGGGACTACCAATCTCAAAATATGAAGATTCGGCGAACTAATATCAAAACACGTGAAAGATTTGCAAGACTAACTTCAAATATAAAGACATGGGGGATTAGTTCCAAAATATGAAAGATTTGAGGTACTAATATTTGTTTTAAAAAACTGTAAAATCCAAAGTGCAAGGCATATAAAAGTCCATAAAGTTGCATAATTTAGATATCAAGCAACAAAAGCAAATGAAAATGGGACTTACATTTTCAGTTTTTTGTGCTTCTGAAAGTTTCTTTAATTTTGTTATTTCAGACTGCAATGTGGATAGCTCCTTAGATGTACTTGTCAACTCTTGGATTGTCTCAGATTGAAGAATGATCTGCAGAACATTGAGAAAAAGGGTATCAAATTAATAAGCATAAATAAATAATAAAGACTAAAGAATTGCTAATTGGTTGAGTCATTATATTAATCATTAAATATACGAATCTAATGTTAGTACAAAATTTGGCAGGCATTTCCCTTCAAAAGAATCAGGTAATCACTTCCATTTTGGATGGGCTGTATGTCTATGTGGGTTTCAGGTGGTGTTGGCAGAACAACTGTTAGAAAATCATTTTTTGTATAAATTAAGCAAGTATGCCCAATATTTAAAATGTAACAGCATGGTGAAAGGCAATGGCAGGCTAAAACCTTCTGACCTCAAAACTGCTACTTAATAACTTGAGAAACCCCAGCCGCAATATGATTACCAAATAAGTAGGCCATCATAACATATAAAAGTGAAATGTAAGGAAAAGGCAAGATTATTATTACTATCCAAGCGTATCATATTTCAGTATATTTTAGAATATGAAGAAAAAAAAATCATCATTGGTGAAAGTATTCTATTTTCTAATAATTTTATTGCTAAATGAATAAAGATGCTCCATACTGCATACCTTATACTATTAGTTAAATTACCTAATAAAAATTTTGTATATTGTTCTGTGTTGCACAGACATTGACATAGCAAAATTTTAAGAAAACTACAACACGCTTTTAAGTAGTTTTCAATAAAAACAATAAATACTGAGAATCAATTCTTAATCTCAAGGTTTTAATTACCAAAAATAATCTCAAGGTTTTAAAGAACAAAATTCATACAATTTTAAAGAACAAAATCATACAAATGTAGTTGATATAAACTATAAAACTTGAGTCACATAAACCATCAAAATTACATTGTCATGCCCATATCGAGTTATCTCTGGGTCAATACAAGGCCAAACGCATGCTGGACATGGGAAGAAATCTCTACCAAGTTCCTCTATGTGCAGTGCAGATACGTGTTGGACACTGGGTACAGGACCTTGGCCTCCAACGTGGTGGTGCAACATTGGTGCTGCACTATCTACATAGTTTCTGGTGATTTCCACCTATTTCCTAAGACATCATAGGGGTTAACATATGTTGGACATGGGAACACGTCTTTACCGATTTCGTCTATTGTCTCAGTGCAGCATGTTGAACATGAGGAGTGCTAGCGACACTCGCGCATGGCGAGTGCCGCTGTCACTCGCCCAAGAAATAAAGGGGTGGCGTTGGGTTTACTTAACCTAACCCTAACCTAAACCAAAATTTAACCCAAACCCCGATCCTCTATTTTTGAGGCGAGTGACAGCGGCACTCGCCTTGCGGGAGTTTTGCTAGCACTCCTCGTTGAACACGGGGTACAAGGTCCTTGGCCTCCAATGTGGCGGTGCAACATAGGTGCTGCACTATATACATAGAATCTGATGATTTCACCTATTTCTTAAGATATCACAGGGGTTTAGTGGAAGCAGAACAGTCAAATGAAACCTGTCTCTCATAATTGTCTTGTGCAGTCCGCCATCGTTTCTGCTCCTTAACCACATCCTCTTTCAAAGAAGATACTTGAATTTCCAGCATCTCTATCTGTGATCTACAACATCAACAAAACAAATGTATAAAGAATACATGTCTAGTAATTATGGTTTTGAATGTTATGAGGATAATAATACTCACGATTTTTCTTGAATCTCTTGCCTCAGGCTTAAAGTCTCAGTCATTGCCAAAGAAAGTGCTTGTTCTTTACTTTCAATAGCCAAAGCAGATTCCTCAGACTTCAATTTGTAGCTGCTTTCCAGATCATGAACCTTGATCCTAAGGGATTGAATTTCATCTTCTAATGCCTTCTTCAGCTTTTGTGCCTGCATTAAATTACAAAATTAATATAGGGGCATTCCTTAACAGAATTACAAGTTAATAAGAAATGAGGCAGTTACAAAAAGGTATCCTTACCTCTAGCTTGTACTCTTCGTGTGCTGACTCTATTTGCTTCAATGCAGTTTCATTTGTCCGTGCTATTTCTTTGTACTGCAGCAAATGTTGCATAAAATGTAATAAGAACTAAGAGAAAAAGTAAGGAAAGCTTTTGGTACCTGTAACATGTATTCCTTGTTTGCTCGTGCTTCCTGTTTCAATTTCTCCAACTCGTCTTTTGTTTTCCACAGCTCTCCATTGACCTAGATAAACATCGCATAAATATAAAGCATGAACACTTGAACAGAGAACCGAAAACATGATAGCGGAAAAGTGAACAATAGAACACGCGCACACGCACACACAAAACTGCTACCAGAAGGGGGAAGTCTGTAGACAGCGGCCCGTAAAGATTGAAAAAAGACATAACTAGGTACAAATTAGTGATAAGAGGTTGACGCAAGTCAGGACAAAGGAAAACACTAATGCCAAATGAATCAAGCAATCATACAGATGATAACCTAGAAAACTAGGGTTGTGCAATCGGTTCGGTTCGGGTCGGTTTGTTCGGTTTTTACTTAGGTACTTAGGTACAAATGTTATGTCCAAATTCAATTTCACCTCTAATCTGTTGACGAAGAAAGAAGTCTGTTACATTTCAATTTATTAAAATTCATAAACTATTAAATGCTACTGAATATTGGATGTAGAAATCAAAATCTTATTCCTACCAAAGATTACATAAATTTTTTTTAGAGAAAACTTACATAAAGAATTATAGTGATCTCAATTTGATAGACAAAGTAAATAAAAAATATGTAATAACTTGGATGTTCGGTATAGTTTCTATAAAATTATAACTCTGATCCAAAGAGAAGTCTAATCCAAAAATGTATCAATCGAGGAGAAAAATCAGGAAAATGTTAGAATCAACATTATGGTTTAAGTTTCTTACCTCCAAAGTGGATTGGTCTAAAATATAAGAAGCGAATATGTAATAGAGAGGGATAGAGAACTAGAAATAACGAAAAGTCCTAGAATTGGAGAGGATACTATTGTTAGGGTATTTTATCGCTATCAGGTTGCGTGAGAGAAAAATATATCAAGCTGCAGAGGAGTAACTCTATATGAACTATAATGGGTCGGGATTAAGCAAATGTAAATTGTAATTAGAATGGGTAATACAATTCGGTCGGTTCGGGTTGAAAAAACTTCAACCCGACCCAAACTGAACTCTAATAAAAATCAAACCGAACTGTTAAATCTCGGTCAGTTTGGTCGGTTTGTTCAGTTTGAACCGAACTATGCTCACCCCTATAGAAAACAACTAAGTGCATAGAACTAGTCATGTATGCAAAAGTCTAACAGGGTCCTAAGTATGAATGCAATCCAATTATATGCATGCGATGATCATTTAAACAATATCCACAAATAGAGAACAGTAAACAATGATATTGATAAATTGACTACAAGTTCTATAGCATTGTAGGAGCAAGGTTTGGATATGCGATTATGATTAGAGATCACCTGACGGTGTAAGGAACTCACACCAAATCGTACAAGATCCAAATCAGAATTGAGTCGAAAGGCTCTGTTACACTGTTCCACGAGATTGAGGAACCAATGAGGTCTCAACAACTTAGATCTGAGTTTACCACGCACTTTGCGGGGATACTGTTCACGTGAACAATGATCGGCGACCATGGATAGTGATCGGCGACCGTGAACAATGATCTGATGTTGAGAAGATGGGAGAATCACGCGACAATATTATCGTGTATTGGAGCAGAGTATGAACAGTATCGAAAAACTGTTTACGTGAACAGTATGACGCGATCTTGAGAGGAGATAGGATTTGTTTGAGTGGATGGTTAGATATGGATTGAGGGTATGATGAAGGTTGTGATTTGATCAAAATAATTAAAATAAAATGGGCTTCACACCATCAAAGCAATTCACTTGCTAATGTAAAACTCAGAATTATCATATCAAAATAGTCTGCCCTTACTGAAGCCTTTCACATCATTATTTATAACCATAACAATATCAAATCAAATCCCTAAATCACGTTCAAATCTTAGCAAAAATTGAACTAATATAAAATCCCATCAATTAAAATCTCTGAGATCATGATGAATATTTCCAGAATCAATAAATATTCTCCCAATCTAATCACTTGTTTCTTTCTCCTGGAATATACTCTTCCTGGATTCCCATCAGAGGTCACAAAGACGAACAAAATAAATAAGCAATGAGCTAAGGAACATAAAAGGGCTGGGCAAAAATATCCAGTGGGACTGATACGAGTTACCGTGCGAGCACCTTTGATTGTGGAATTATCAAATGTGGGTTTTGAGAAGAAAAACAGCAAAACACAAGAACAATTCGATATGATGAAAGAAAATACCTTCTCTAGATTATGAAGATCAAGTATTTACAAATCTCTCCTCACAATCTCTCTAGAATAAAGAACGATTATCTCTATTCTCAAATCTCACGAGTTTCTCCTTGGAAATCCCGAATCAATAGGGTTTCTATTTATACAAACCCTAAAACCCAAAACCAGCTAGGAATTAGGATCAGCCCAGACCCGATATCGGTCGACTGCTGTACCTATATCGGTTGACCGATAAGGATGCATCGGTCGACCGTCCAGAACTATGTTTTTCTGACCCTGTAGCGTGTAGGTGACCGATCGACTTGTGATGGTTAAGCGGTCGACCGATAGTGCTTCATCGGTTGACCGATGCTAGCCCATCGGTCGACCGGCCAGAGCTGCTTCGCCAGCTTCCTGATTTTCGACGTTTTCCTGATTTTTACCGTTTTTGCCGTTATCAACGACTCCGCCCACACTTCTATTCTCAAGCTACCATGATAATCATCTATTCTCAAGCTCCTATGAGGATCGCTAAGTTCCCGAAGTAAAGAAGATACATATCAACAACTCCGCCCATGTATCATGCCAAAGCTACTTTGCCAGCTTCCTAATTTTCATCGTTTTTCTGATTTTTACTATTCGTCGTTGACCACGCTTCTATTTTCAAGGTACCATGAGAATCATCTATCCTCAAGCTCCCATGAGGATCGCTAAGTTCCCGAAGTAGAGAAGTTACATTCGTATCAGGGACTGCAATTCAGTGCTTGGGAAAAAAACATACATGGTGCATAATATACACCCGAAGAATCAGTGCTAAGGAGAGAATCTAACTTATATGTTGAACAGTCTGAACTCAGGAATATATACTAAGATGTATAAGAAAATAAAGCAACATTTTTCTCAAAAATCCAGGAAAAGATAATGAAAACTGTAGGGCAGGCACTGCCAAATATTGGGAGGGAGAACGAGATGGGTCAAGCATATCATCCAAGTGAGAAGTGGCAATCTATATTGATTATGGGGTCCCAAGATCTCCAAACCAAGCCACAATAAGAAAAATTAGAAAGGACAGTTGGAGAATATTAGAATATGATTGATTCATCTTGAAATAGCAGGGTTGCTATAAACAGTAAGTCATATTTCTCACCTATAGTTTTCTTACTCTATGATTAAAACTATACACCGCTCTTTGAGACTTAGATTAGGTTTCTGGCTTTGAGTTTACAAGAGCCTAAACTAATAAGGGATAGTTTTAAGGACTGCATGTGATTTTTTTTCTTCTTTGGTACAAAGAATCAATCTTCTCCTGTAAATAAAAAAATTTTCCTTATTTTTTTAAAAGAATATGTTAATCCGAGTTCAAATACACGAAAATCTATTAGGCAACATTTCAGCCTTTTACTAATAGTTGGATAAGTCATTTCCAACTTTACCATAAGTTAAACCACATACTACCTGAATCAGTGTTTTCAATGCGCGAGGCGCAATGCGGGGCGCAAAGCATCTTTACGCACACATGCGCAAGGCGTAACGCGATGCGCGCGCCCGAGTGATGCGAGGCGCAAACCACACATATAATATTTCAATATATGTAATCAAGCGCGAAAGAACATGTTTTTAGAATTTACATAAAAAATATCATGATAAATAATATCTTGCTACAAAGTCACAATATATTGCCTTAATTTCTAATGCTAACACCCAACATAGTAGCAAATTTCATAAATTTTCAAATCAAATGTTAAATCAAGACTTATATCCAAACTAAGGATTAGTAATGGTCCTCAATTGAAGGTTATTAAAAAAACCCAATGGATTTATTTTGCTTTTTGGGATATGGAATATCAAGTATAAAGATTTGATTGAAATGTTAACAAACAAAACTATATGAGGAAATGTACTACATGCATCCTACACAAAGTACGGACGTACGCGAGGCGCAAAAAGCACTGCTGCATCAGGTGTGGGGCGCTTCGCCACCGCCCCGCATCGTAGGGCGCATAAGGCGCAATGAGGCGCGCGCCTTTGAAAACACTGACCTGAATATCTATCAGGTTTCATTACCCACCCGATGATTATTATATGAATATAGTTTTCTTGTTTCCACTAAGCTCGGCAGTCTCTGGGGTAAAAAAAACAAATCTCATTTGGCCACTTGATTCATAACGCATAGGATTCATTGCAGCTAGTACCCTAAATTTCATGGATGAAAATCCCTACAATAAAACACAGAATATCTATAGGAAATATGACCTTATGCCTGGCATAGTTGGTAAAAGGACTACATTCAATTTCTTTCCAAAAAAAATAATAATAAAAACACGTGAAAACTATGTTGTTGGGCATGAGACGGGTGCGGGACTGTGGGTGCGAACACGGGCGCAGATACGGGACACATCAATTTGTAAAAGGCAGGATACAGGGACACGACTATAGATATACATATTGATATTAATAATTTATACGTGATCAATATTGTTTTTTCATTCACATGTTATGAACCAAAATTCCTATAATATTTATAGTTTCTTTTATTCAGTAGATTATAAATTGAAAAACCGCTTGTGTTTTAATTAAATACCCAAACCCTTTATGATTAGATTTATGAACTGAATATGGGTGAAACGAACCCGACCAGATCTCAACGAGCTGTAGAAATTTGAGGCGAAGTTTCCGCTATGTGTCCAAGAAGTGTATCACGAATGTCTTGAAACAAACCATGCATTATATAATTGAGTACATGTCTGAACAAATGTATATGTATATTGTGTCCAAGGAGTGATATGGATACAGTAAGTGTCGGACAAGGATACGGGAGCCCAAATGAGGCCTCCCAGTAACTTGGGTGAAATTCAAACACATAATGCAAGAAACCATAGCTCAAAAAACAAATGCATTGCACACACAACCATATTCGAATAACAACCAACTATGAAGCATGGACTCTTCAACAATGAGACCAGGGTCAACATGTACAGAACAGGAAACTTGCCCAAAACTTTCCCCTCAAGGTATTACCTTTCCTGAGTAATCTAGGATTTCAAGCAATCAGAGAAGTAGCAAAGTCATGTCAAGTTCTAAAAATAATCAAAAGATTACATGCCGAACAACATGAAGACGTGTTGTTTTAAAGGATTCATAAATGGTTCTTTGACATTAAAGAGATACATGGGCGTGGCCTCCTGTTAGATAAATTATTATAAGACTTCCTTGATTCAATAAAGTTCTTGGTTAGAAGTGCTAAATTTAAATGGTAAAAATTCCATTTCGCTTTTATATCTCCTAACTAACATGACTTGATCATTATGTTATTGAAGTGTTATCTAAATAGATGCATACATAGTGTTATACACATCACATGCATATACACACACACAAAAATTTGTGTCATAGTCTCCTCAAGTCCTACTTTTTCAGGATTGTTCACGTCTCTGCCTGTAGTATATCAAGTCTGCTTATTAAAAAGTGTACATGTGTATGCTACACAAATTGCCATTATTTTCACCATGGGCAGTAAAAAAAATGATGAATCTAACTTCAACATTATGTATGCACATACCTCATTTGCAGGGAGTGCTGAATGCTCATCTCCACCATCCTTCCTAGTTACCTACATGTTCAACAAAAATAATCAAATGTGAAAACTAAAAGGATATACTTTAACATAAAAACGTACTATCTGATATACGTTGAAAAAGCAAAAATTGAAGAAACTTTCTTAAATAATCATTTATCTTATATTACCGCTAACTCTAAGATAGCAAGTAGAGGAACTTATCTCTACATTGTCCTCAGCTAAGTGCACCAGCAATCAAAAAGCTCCCAGAGCAGTTTTTATCAATAACATGAACCAAATTTATCCACTCATCTCTAATGAAGTGTTCAATTAAGCAACAGTTTTTGTCAAATTAGAAGCTATCTTACTATTGCTTTAAACCCAGTTAAGCATTTTTTTCTGGTACCAGCTGAAAAATACACTCATAATAATCTGAGGCCTTGTTAAATGGTGAAGGGATGAGATTAGGTTGTGGGAAGCCCCTTGTTTCGATTTCTGTTAGCGCCTTTGTTCAAAATTGTAAAATAATAATAATAAATGCAGTATAAACCGACCTCTTCCATTTTTCTAAAGTGAATGATCCTCCATATTCTTATGATTGCCCTCATATCTCAGTACATTTCTAAAACATCACTGCAAGATGATCTAAACATATTTAACAGCACTCGCATTTTAGAAGGTAGAACCCTAGAAGTGGTTCTCTAAATCAACCTACACTTATCACTTCCATAAACAGTCATGATCAATGATTAATTAATTTTCCACAAGCCAATACGTTCCTAGACCATTAAGGTAAGAAATTTTCTCATTCCTTTCCATAGCATTGCTTTCAAGTTACAGCTCACACTATTGAGTTTTGTAATAGTAATTGTAATCCCTTTAGATAAGAAGATTCTCTGCACCTTTCAAGATGGAGATTTTACTTCACTGGGCAAACAAATAAGATGGAAACTTATCCACAATTAGGAAAAAAGGTCATTATACAAAACGTGAACAATGACATAAGTTAAATCCAAACAATGTAATCATATGGTAAAGATGAATGAGTCTCTTCCTTGCTTTATTCATATAGCAATTGCTATTATCATCCACAAGTCATTTAGTTAGCATCAACATAACCAGACAATTGTTCCTTTTCTAAGATACCAACCTCTTTGTTGAAGCGAAATATATACAATATCTCCTAGGCCAATAAATCTTCATAACTTTCCTATTAAGTCCATGGATACTATGCAATCTTGCATAGCATGACCAAACTGATTTAGCGAGAACTTATTTCTATTGGCTCCACAGATTCTCACATAGATATATTACGTTGCTCACAAGTTTGATTCAGGTACAATGTGTACACTTCTTTTATCTTCATTGTGCAAATAAATAGTTGATGGGGACCAATAGCGGCAACGCACAACTTAATCAATCAAAAGTGTGATGATTCTATGTGGAATTCCATGTTATTGTATAAGACACGCTTGTAGCAAGGTTTAAAAGTTAAAACTTAGGGCAAACAGATTCATATACATCTGTTTAAAAAACATTCTAGATAATAGTACTTTTCAATGTTCATTTATGATGCAAAACCAAGCAGCTGAATGAAATGACACTATAATATCTGCGTTCGTGGGCCGCTGGCGACAGGCTGTCGCCAGCCCATCGATCTCCCCTATAAAAACCCCATCAAGTTAGGGTTTTGTGAAGTAGCCGCTGAAGCCTTCCCCCTCTCCGATTTTTCTTCCCAGGCGGCGGCGGAAAAACCCCCAAATCGCAGCTGCGCATTTATGATGCAAAACCAAGCAGCTGAATGAAATGACACTATAATATAGAAAGTACAAATATATGCTCCTGTAAGATCACAAGACTCAGCAGTTACCTTTTGCATCTCAGTAAGGCTAATTTTGGCACCAAGTTCTGAGCATCGAGCCTAAATGACAATCCAAAATTTAGGAGATGACATGATAACAACTAACGAGGACATGAACCATTAAAAAGTAAATATAATGCCAAGAAGTAAAAGAACCTCAGCCACTGCAGCCCTTGATTCAGCAGATGCAACAGCACGCCAAGCATCAGCTAATTCCTTTCTCATTTCTTCCAAATGCTTCACAGAATTCTCTACAGCCTTTTCCTTCTCAAGGGTCAGAGAACGAACACGATCTCTCTCTTCTTGAAGTTCTTTTTTAGCTTCTGCCCATTCCATCTGCAAAAGAAAGGGGGAAAAAGAGAAATACATTTAGTTATCAGTAAATAATGCAAAAGAAAGAGAGAGAAAAAAAGAGAAATACATTTAGTTGTCAGTAAATAATGCAAGCCATATGTGATGACAGTTAAAAAAGGGGGAAATTTTACATTCAGAACAATTCCAGCTAAAACAAGATTAAGAAGAAATAAAGTGTATGGACTAAGGCATCGTTGATAATAGGCTAAGTTAGGTGAAGTCAAATCCCACCCATGGACCCATTTGTGCTAGTTGCTGGCTCATGTTTAATATGGGCCATTGGACTGGTTTTGTTCCCATGGTTGTAATACATTGAGGACCCTTAACTGAAGGGATGAAGTGGGATAGAGAAAAAAAAACAAGAGAAAAAAGAAGAGATAAACGAAAAGAGAGAAGCTTGGAGAAGAGCCATTTCTTGGGTTTCTTGGAGTTTGTTGGAGGTTGAAGGAGAAGAGCATTCTTTTTGAAGGTTTGTGTTAAACGCATTTTCTCCATGTTAGACCCTTTCACAAGTTCTTTTAGCTTTACATGTTCTCCTATTGGAGGTGAGATCTCTTGTACTTGTAATCTCCCATTCATAGCCAACGAATCAAGTTGGCATTGCTCTCCTGCGGATGTAGGCTTGTTTAGCCGAACCACATATATCCATTGTGGTTGTCTGTTATTCTTGTTGATTTTGCTCTCTCTGTGTGAAGACTTCTGTGTGGACTCATGGACCTACCGACATAAATTTTAAGTTGCATAGGTAGCTCAAAAAAATAAAAAATAGAGTATGAACATGAGCAGCATGGGTAGTTCTGGCCAGGAAAAACCAAAACCTATAAGAAATTCAAAGAGGGAAACCTGATGTCTCTAGTTGTTAACTATTTCCATATCCCCACAATTTCTATATGCATCCCAAACCCATAAATGGAATTAGTCTCGATTTCATACATATCAAACTTCAACTGATCTTAATTTAAACTTAATTCGAGCTTTTATATTTATTTGGATTCATGTCTTCTGATAACAAGTGCTTTGACTATAATATATATTATATCTTCAGGCGAAAAGATATTGAAAGAATCAGAGATCGCAACAAGTTTAATGGTTACGAACAATTAGCCTACACCAGAACCAAAACCCAAAAAAAACAATAATAAAAATAATAATAAAAGTCAGAACCGAAATTTTAATGAGAGCACCTGATCCTACAGAGAAATTGTCAGAACCGAAATTTTAATGAGAGCACCTGATCCTTCAGAGAAATTGAGGCATAATGTGACTTGTTCCCAAATATGGCTGGCTTAACTAATTTAACCCCAAAAAAATACGTGACAAAAAAGAAACAAAATGTAACCTTCACAGCTTGTTATTAACAGCTATCCGTCAGGAAATAAAACTAAAACTTTTGGTTTTCGGGCATCAAAATCATTGTTTTAAAAAGCCTCCCCTAGGCCGTCTAGGCGTACGCCTAGACCTAGGCGGTACCTAGACCGTCTAACTAGCGCCTAGTGTCTAGGCAGTACCTAGGCTGTCCACCTAGATTTTGGGAGTTTTTAGGGAAGCATTGTCTATTTGTGTGGACTGCACCCTTTAGGCCTTGATCATGATTTTCTGTGTTGCAGCCTCCACGCCCTCCAACCTCCTCTAAACTCTTTTAACCTCTAAATATGAACACATCCACTACCTCCTTCAGCAAAACCTCCTCGACCGCCACTTAAATGAAGAAGAAAATCTGCCTACACACTAGTCCGACACCTAAGATTTCTATAACATTGACATTTACAATCAATTATTGTAATTAAAAAACAAACCCTCCTAAGCTCTAGGCATTGGGTCCAACACGTAGGCCTCCTAGCGTTTTTTATAACCTTGTTAGTTATTATTTTGGCTATTTAATATTAACTATGTATGGTTTATTGTGGATCTAAAACTGCTATCTATTTTTTACAAATTTATATAAATTTAATACATATTTTTATCAAGTATTATAATTAAATAATTTAAAAAATAGCCAAACGCCTTGGCGTACGCCTACGCGTCTAGGCGATAGGCACTGGCCCAAATGTCTAGTCCGCCTAGCGCCTTCTGTAACATTGATCAAGATGAACATAATGGATGTTCAATTTGTATAGTCAATCACTAAAATCGAATGTGAGGGGTTAACTCTAGGAATAGCAAAAAGCCACATAAAGAAGTGTTTCCAGTTCACTCTTTTACAGAATTACGTCATGTCAGGCAGGGGGCATGCCAAGACACTAAGATCCTGTGTCATAAGACTCCCAACTCTTCTCATGTAAAAGAAAAAGGAAAATATGATATCATGGTATTTAAACACATGTTTAGAGAGGGAAAACACTGAAGAATTATCAGGTTTACTAGCACAGACATCTGAACCTGTCTCTTTTTTCAACTATATCAATGTCATGAGATAAGTGAACAAATAACCAATGTTCCCAATATTGGTTAATGCAGCTGCATAAGCGGCTTCATAATGGATTCAGCCAGGTTCCATTGTGAATTGGACCAATTTACTTGGTTATGCGGACATACCACATAAGTTATTTCCTTATGAAAAGCGCATGCATAAAATGATTATGTGGGCGTTTATTAATTCTTATTCGGGTAAACAAAAACAAATCATTTTATAACCCAAACCGAACTTTTTTAAACCGCCTGTTAAATAAACCTTAAAAGTTAAAACCACTTTTCTTCCAAATCAAGCCACCACATCCCCCCTACTCATACGGCATACCTAACCCAAGCATCTGTATGCCTTCAAAAACTCTCCTCCTTTGCCACTGCCTTTGCCACCCTCTCTTATCAGTATATAAACAGTATTGACACCACACAAAGATGTTCTTGTGTATAGATTATAGAACTTTTATCGGTGTGTAATATCTGCATTTAGGTACATGATTAAAGCTAAATAGAGCCTATTCATACACACATACATACTAACATGTCCTAGTGTATAAAACTTGTGTCACATACTTTAGAACACTCAGGTTGTCGCTCATATCCGTTGTGAAAGTCACCCAAGAGGGGGCTGAGAAGGGTGAAATGGCAACTAAAGAGTAATTTGAACTTACTAAGGACTGGATCTATGCAATTTGGTCTCAAATGTCACACAGACTTACATCACTTCATACAATCCAAACCTTCAACAACACTAAAACACATATAATACACGTATAGTGAGAGTGCATTGCATGTACACATACTTGATGATTCTTTTTGGAACTTTCCGCTGTTCTCTTACACTATGTTCGGGAGTTTACGAATGGAGGGAAGGAAGAGGGAAAAGAAAATAAGGAAGAGAAAGTGAAAGGAAGAGAAGGAAAAATATGATATCATGTTTGGGAGTTTAGTAAAGGAAACGGAGAGGAACCAATTACGTAACCATTGGATTGACACTATGATGGTTCAAAATATTTCATCTCCTCTACACCCCGATCTGGGGGAAAGGAAATCCTATAGAATGGTTACCAATGAAGGTGAATCTTGTCACCCCCATTCCCCTCCATTATCTTTAAAAAAACACTTCCAAACGCGGTGAACCATTTCATTTCCCTTCCCCTCTCCACCATTCACCCTCATCCAAACAGGGTGTAACAGAGAGAGAGAGAAAATGAACAAAGTCCATGGAAAAGTGAGGAGATGCATAGTTATTAAGATGTTATGAGTAATTAGTGAGGAATTAATGATATTAAATGAGTTGAAAGTTAGTGGGGCTTAAAGTATATATAGATGTTAAATAGGTAATTGATGGAAGGTTATGAATAGGTAACTCACAGTAGATTGTCGTTCTAATATTTTTTCCCTCTAAAAATTACATAAATAAAATTTCATATTACATGACTTTGTGCAAAACAATGCGACTCAAAAAAGTGGCTATCACCATGTGACTCGCGCGAAAAAAATAGTTAGTATAAGAGTTGCTGTCAGCAGTGAGGTATTAGTGCTATCAATGATGTAACTATCAACATGTCTTGAGTTCAAGCTTTAATTTGTAGTGCAAAGAAAAATTTGGATAAATGGCACGGAGCGTACAAGCCTTCTCTCAGTCATTTAGTCGATCATGTTACCGTCACAATACTACAATTTACAATATGCATCAATAACTATTTTTCTCCTAATGACATAATGTGATTCACAACATTTATTAGTTTCCTAACTGTATTATACCATTATGTTCTTCAAAGGAACATAAATTTTTACAATTTTTGTGTATGTTTGATCAGTTAAAGTAGATAGTACATGAATAGTTAAGTTTGATTATTCCTCATCAATTCATAATATTTGCAATTGCTAGTCAAATACCAAGAAATCATATTGTTTTACTTGCATTCAAATACAAATTGAAGTTACATGCATATGAATACTTAAATGACAGATTTTCTCATTTGTTCATAATAAATACAATACAATTAGATGATGCTATTGTGCACGTTGATCAATTATCAAAGTGAACCCCCATGAAACCGTTCCATATGAATGATGGGAACCATAATTTATCTCCAACATTTGCTTTGAATCATTTAATAATATGTTGCTATTTTAATGGTTTCATTCCTATAAATAAAGTTTAGTATCTCAGATATGTTATAAATCATTAAAATATTTTTCACACATATGTTTTCTCCTCTATTTGTTCCTAAAAGTAAGTATCACAAATGATTCTACAAATGAAAAGATGAAAGGAAAAAAATGTAAATGAGGAACACATTTCTAAAATATTAAATGTAAAAAGGAATAAATATTATGAAATCAGAACAAAGATTAAAAGATCCATACAAAGACATCTTTCTCTACATAACCATATCAAGAACTTATTATAAAAGAGAGTGCGCAGGTTAGCCCGTTTCTTTT